AAGTGTCTTGCCCATACTGGAGATGGTGACAGAATTGGCAATGAGGAGGTGACTAGTCATTCTGCAAGGCCTGGTCCGGGGCCAGTTTTCATTTTCGTCTTGTTCTCTTTCTGTTTTTCTTTCTCTCTCGCTTTTGTTATTTATACCAATGAGCAAATGTTGCTTATTTTTAGCAGCCTTTCCATTTTGCTCAGGCGCTGATCCTAAGTAATGGAATGCCTGTGGCCCTCCCTAGGGCACCATCCCACCTCTAATAAGAGAAGACAAATGCAAGCTTTGGTGTAGAGAGTTATTGATTTGCTTCCAGGCAAGTAGGTGTGTGCGATACATGTAAAAGGTGCCCATGCATACCATATACTAGCACTCCAACATCTTAGCAAATGACCTTGCATGATCTGCCTTGGGCTGTTGATGAGAAATTATTTCTTTATGTTGTGTAGCTCCATAAAGCAAGCAGCCTTGCAACTTGCTTATTTTAGAGCATATAAAATCAACACTAAAAATCCAAACACACCCAAATACACATGCCCATGTCCATTAACAGAACAAAAGCAAAGTCCTCCCTCAGGTGCATTCAGTTTGAGTTCTGGGAGAGCAAAGTAGATGGATCAACTCATGGAAGCAGATGTAAGAGTTACATAGATAGGAGTATGTGATGCAAGTGCCATTTTTTTTCCTTTTCTCTTCTAGGTCTTGTGTCACTGGATTATTGCAGAGATGCTAAAACAAGGGACAACAGAGTCCTGAGGGAAGCAGTTATGAGAGGACTTCCACTGAGGTGTGGATGTCCAGGGAGCCCCTACCTCACAGACTAGCAGCTGACCAGCAGCATCTTCCATTGAGTGTCCTAGCAGCTTTATGTCTACTTTCCTACTTTAGGAGACAAATGTATGACCTTAGACACTGTCCCTCTTCTAAACCCCTTTAGGCTGGAAATAAAATGTAAGGGAGGGTGTATCCAACCTGAGACAACAAAGTTTATCCTTTCCTATCCTTACCCAAATTTTATCCAAAAGAACTTCAGAACCAAGCAGGAGTAACTACATACTTAAACTGCAAGGTAGGAGATGCAGACTTTTGTGTCTTGCCCATCCACGCCAGTCTTGCATCTGCCTGAGGTACGAGGGATTTGCTGGGAGACCAAGTGCCCTTGGTCGTTGCTGTGTACTTTGCATCAACAGAGCTTTGCTCCTAGACACTAACATTTGTATTGCTGTTGGTGAAGTGTTTTCTGGCTTATGCCTATTGCAGTTTTGGCTGGAAGGAAAGCAGGTGAGGAGGTTGTCCCATACCCTCAGTGTCGCTGGGATCCCACCCAGCCTGCAGGCATAGCTGCACAAATGCTTGGTTCTCTCAGTAGGGTCTGGCTTAGTTTAAACACTTTCTATAGGTTTTTGTCTTCCCCATTTTCAGGCCTGACTCATTTTGATAGGGTTAGGGTTACATGCATGCTTATGCTGGCAGAAGAAACTAATTTTCTGCTGATGGAGGAAGACAGGAGGCTAGGGGGACATTACTCAGGTGCAGCAAAAACAGCTGATGGCCCAGTGCTTGATTTGCTAATGCCATGCCTACCCAAGTGTTCTTACTTTTGCCACTGCTAGGGAATTACCATTGATTGCAATTGAAACATAGGGAGACAAGAGGAGGAGAAGAAATCTTGTTTAGGAAACAAAGTTATGCTGCCTTTGAGGGGGACCCAAATACCTTTTCTATCATAGATCTTTGTAATCCTTCCACCTTTTCCCCTGCTCCAGTTGCTGCCGGTTTTATCCTTACTCTGGTGGATCTCTGTGATGAAGCAAGTCTTCTCTGTGCCAAGTCCCTGTCTTGTTACTGTCATTCAAGATCCAGCTTTTATTAACTATCCCAAACCCGGTGGAAGGGGTGAAGGTATCTATTCTGAAGCTGCTCTTTTAAATTCAGCCTTATTTGTATACTATGATCTGCATGCCTCTCTGCCCCCAAATTACTAAAGTTGCAGCACAGTTGTCCAAGGCTTATTTTTCAGTAAATGACTCTTATAACTGGTATTCAGATTAACTACCCTCTTAGTCTGAAATGCAGCAAGACATTTAACATGTGTGGGATAGGATAGCTATCTCAAATAAATACAACACTGCATCAGTAGATGTTTTCATATTTTCAGGTAAGCAGGCTGGTGTTGGGGAAAAAGGTTAGTCTATTAACACTTCTGCTCAAAGCACGCCAACTTCCTTTCTACATGGAATAATTATTTTTTCACATAAGCCCTGTAGTGCCCCTGCTATGTTTGCACTTGTAAGTCTCAAACATTGCTGTACAGATCACCCTTTATGAGTGGAATCTGAGGTCATGTGTCTGCATTTAAAATTCACTGTGTGCGAGCTATCATGCACTGGCTTGTCAATTCTGTAGGTGTAGAGGCTATGGGCCCATATTTCAGGTGTGAAGAGAGCAGGGCCATTTTTAGTGGTTAAAACACCCATGTGTGCAGCTCACAGCTATGAGTACCCTTGCAGAGCTTTATAAATTCTATTGATTCATAGCTGGCATCTCACCACCTGTATGGGCAGGATTACATATAAATATACATGTCCTGTACATAACAGGACCATTTAGAGCATACCTATGGCATAAAAGTAAAGTGAACTTGGGCACAAAAGTAATTTATACCTCTGTGGAAGACTTGTTGGGGAGAATATTGAAAGGCCTTTTGTCTGCCATAGCCCAGGGCTCACAAGTGATTTTAGATGGCTGGCGATCCATGTTTCTGTTCATACAGTTCCAGCAAGGGTTAAGGATTTTTAACCAAAGACAGTTCAGAAATAGGTGATGGTGGGAGAAGTGATTGTAACCAGCATGCCAAGGAAATGTCAGAGATAGGAAGGCTTCTATCCTGGATCGTGAATCCTGGGGCTTTCATGGATAAGAAAGTTGCAGCTGGAGTTGGAGAGGGTGTAATGACACACAAATCTTTAGTTTAACCATCTTCTAAAGTCATGCCCAGGGTTGGCTGAGAGAAGATGAAAAAAGCTAATGAACCCTGAGGAGGACTGATCTGCAGCTGTCCTCAATAGCTTTCTTGAAGGAGGTCTTTTTTCATTGCATATATAACTGCTGTATGTTGCTGTTTTGAGCAGCTGTGTCTTGGCTGCTCCAATACGCTCATTGTTGGAACTATCTCTTAAAACTCTGGCCAGCACCTGAAAAAATATTATTATTTAAGATGGCATTAACATCTAGGTTCCAGCCACAATTTTGCGCTGGGCACAAAATAGTTGAAATACGAGAGGCTGTCTGTGCCCCAGAAAGATTATTTTCTATCTGCAGACACTTAACTTTGAAAGAGGAAATGGGTAAAGCTGATCTAGTTTTTTTCATCCAATATGAGCTGGCTAGACCAGTTAGTGAGATTCTTAAGAGGTATGAGACTGCAGTAAGATTGGAGCAATCTGGCAGAAGTGCAGAAAATTTGATTAAAAAGAAAAAAAGTGTCAATCCATACTCGGTAGCAGGGTTAGGAGAAGGACCTTAGCAATGAAGGTCTGAATTTCAGCTTCTCTTACTATCTTTGCCACCGAATTCTTGCGTACCTATATACAAAACCTTTCACTGCTGTGCTAGATCCAGAATTTATATGTTGCGCCGCTGCATGCCAGAATCTGTTAATCTTGCACCAATAGCACAATTCACAAGGGGCATGCCCAAGTGAACTGGAGTGACTACGTAACTATGCTGGTGCAAGAAGCCCCCATATAAGGTGAATCCTTAGTCGTGCAGAGTATGAATTTGTAGAAGCAGGTTGGCATGACAACCTGAAGGGGAAAAAAAACCAAAGGAGAATATATTGATGCAATATGTCCAGTGGTACAGCACTGCAAAAAGTAAATGGCTGTGCTGGAAAGAGGAAGGCAATCCCCTAACTTCTGAAATGTAAAAAACAATGTCTGAAAGGTGTCTATCTTTGCTCAGCAGATTTTTTTTTATTTTGCCCCCCCTCCCCAGCATATTTCCAGCTTTTTAAAATCAGAAATGTTTACTGTGGGGAAACTATTAATGAAGCCCAGCGGAATGGTGGCAGGAGGGGTAAGTGCATATAAATTCAGGAATTGAAGGGGTACATTCACAAGGAAAAAAGGTGCATTACCAACAGCTGTTAACTAAAATACAATTACCTAGCTGGAGGTAAGAGTTTAAGGCTGTCCTCTGTGCTAACAAGCCCAGGTAGGGAAACTGGGAAAGCCCTGGGGTGAAAATTGCGAGCTGTCTGAACGCAACATTCAAAACGATGGCTATGTTTCTAAATTACTGCAAGTAAGGTGCCTTTTTGTCCTAGCAAGGATGAAGCATTAAATTAGATGTTTTGCAAATGTTTAAATATATGCTTTTGTTAATATGTTATTGGCTAGTTAATATTTTGAATAAAATTAATCATTGTGAAAGCATTAAAAATTAACTCTTTGCAACTGATCATTTAATCATAATTAAAGTCAGTGAAGGAAACTTGAAACATTTGGTCGTTTCAGCAGTGAAACTGAGGAGGACATCTTCTGAAATTCCTTAATATTTCTGATGCAAGAACAGAGGCAGGGAATTTATTTTAAGGAATTGCTTTTGGAAGAATATCCCTGCTAGTAATTTCTTTTTTATTCATGGAATATCCAAAAGAGGGGAAAACTTTGGGAAGAAAAAAAAAACAGAATTGCAACTCCCTGCTAAAGGTGATAATACAATGCTAACGAACCATAGCCTTTTCACTGGGTAGCTGGCAACATTACCACCCATCTGTGCCGAGTGGGATGTGCAAGCAGAAGTCAGGGCTGAAAACCCTCCACCTGTTTTCGGGAAGTAAGTGCGCGCACACTGAAGTTACTCAGCGTATTCGTTCCGTCTTTGGCGGTCCGGGTGATGTTGTTACTACTACTTTTCTGCTGTCTCATATCTCCCACTGCCATGTGCCAGCTGATAGGGGAGCTGTGACATACCACACCCCTGCGGCCGGGAAGGGGGTCACATGGACCGGTCTCATCCAGAGCACTTTAAAGAAACCGATAAGCTCTATCTCGTTTAACTTGGCCTTTGGAAGACGCTTGTGGAAATTTCTGCAAAGGAGGTGACATCAGTTGTTGTCACAGCTGCTGTGTAAGTCTGCAAGACTGTGTCTGTTCAGTCTCTGGCCGGGGTGTATATGTGTGTGCAAGTAGATATTGTTAATAGATTGCATTTAAATAAAAAAACAGTTCATATGAAGTAGGTGAAGAGGTTCGCTCGCTCAGAATATGTGCATTATTGTCGAGACTTGAGGCAATGATGGAGTACGTAAACTTAACAAAGCAGAAGGACGACCAGCTTTGGAGGGCCGATGTTACATTTGAAACAAACCTTCTCCTGGGGGAATTCCAAGTGTTAGCATGTGGGACATACTCCAGCTGCTAGCTGCTCAGACTTAAAATAAACCAGGCAAAATCCCATATTCAGGCTCTACCAACCGAGGCAAGCTGCTATTGTAAACCTTTCATCTCTGTTTTTCTTCCAGTTGGGTCAGAACGACAACAAATATTTTTGAAAGAGCATTTAAACCTTAGTCTTTTGCGCAGCTTTCCTTGTGTTTCTCTGACGTGACGTGTTTCTCAACATAGTTATAAATTTAGCAAAGGATCTGGTTTGTACAGGTTGAAACACTGTCCCAGGAAGGCTGGAATTAAAAAAGGGTTGGAAGGAATATTTCTACCTTGTGTGACAATGACATTGCTACCAATATTACTGCTTTCTAATCTAGGTATTTTTGAAATTGCAGCATGACTTTATTAACAGAGGACTGTTCTCCTTATTAAGTTGAATCAGGGAGACCCTTTTTCTTAAAGAGAAACCCATGTGACTTTAGGGTGGTTTGCTTTTTGGGTTTTTTTCTTAACATATTGAAGAGGAAATAATTTAATTTGTCTGTGGAAGATAACATAGCAGGATTTCAGGAAAAAAAATGGCTGGGAGATGCGTGGTTGTTTGATGACTAGAATGTGAATAACTGAGGAGGTCTGAAAATAGACTACAGTACTGTTTGCTTTGTCTTGTGGTTTGAGATTGACTTCATGTTTTTTTTTTTTAAATTTTATTTTAATAATCCTCTGACTATAATTTATTTCTAAGGTACTGAGATGCTTGGGAGGGGTGGGAAACAAGTAACTTAATGCAATCTATGCAAATAATGTCTAATTTTTTTTTTTTAAACATCCTATATGAAACTTCATTCATCAAGACTACTAGTTTTTCTGTGATAAAACCTGTTGAGCAACGTAGTACACAACGTTTAGGAATTTAATGCTCTTATTACTGTCAAAGCACAGATATCAAGCTATATCAGTCAGCTTGAAAAGTGTACAAGTGACTGACACAACTTACCTTCCTGCTTCTTCTCTTCTTCCTTTAGACACAGACACACAAATTCTTGTTCAAACCAACAAGCTTATCCAGAATATATTTATAAGGGTGAACTCTGCCAGGCGATGGTTAATCACATACAGTGCTAGGGATATCTTTTGAAGGTATCCCAAACACTGTGACAGAAGTATTTGCCACTCAAACTATTTATAATTCTAGGAGTTTGGAGGGCAGACAGATGTTCATTTTTTATATGAAATGGCAGCTCTTCCGTTGTACAAACGAAATGGGCTATGTCTGTATGGACACATCAGGCAGATCTGGACCGTGCTGTTTTCGGGAAATGCCATGTTTGCACCCTGGACGCACTGCTGCTCACCTGATTAGCCTTTCTGTCTCACAGATGACTTTGTAGCTCCGTGGCAGTCAGCCCATTGTCTGCTGGACCTCTCGTTTCTGTGGACTGTTGGAAGAGGTCAGTGCAGGGTAACTCAAGAAATGTGAAACTGTTGTCCACGTAGCACCTCCAGTAGAAAATTTTTAAGGGCTTCCAATTTGAATAAAACTATGAGCCTCAGCTTTAGTGTTAACCACGATTTTATCTTTTTGTTGTTGTTGTTTTTTCCCCCGGATGGCATGCAAAACTATACTAAGGCCAGTCAGCCTTTGAGAAATAAGACTGATAACCATCACAGGTTTTTTCTTATTTTCCTAGCCACCTCAAGCAATTAGTTTTGAGGACTTTTTGACAAAGTTTACCTGCAGGTCATCCTTCCCTCCTATTCCTTGTTACGTATTTTGAATTATTCTTAACTCTGTGTTTCTGGGAATCGCGGGCAATGTATAGACACAATGTCTTCAGCAGGCACGCGAGGAATGTTACGAGGGTAGCAAGCTTCCTGTTTCCCTGGTCACTCAGAAGATTTATGTGCCAGTATAATGAGAATGAATGATGAGCTGTTGTTCATCGACAGAGACCTTATGGGTCTGTCTATGCACAAGAGGTTTTGAAAGTTGATAACCTTTGTGCTTCAGGCTTTGTTTTGAATGGATAGAAGCGGAGAAAATAGTTATTGGTAGATGTAAAGCTGGATGGACAAACTGAAGGGTATTAGCCAAGCTCTGGCAGTAAAGCTGAAAATCTGAGATATTTATACAGTTGGAAACAGAGTTGGGGTATTTTCATTATTTGGGCACACGTTATCAGATTTTATAGAGTCAGGAGATGCTCCTGCCTAGAATTTCAGTCTCTTCTATTTTTTAGGTCTCTGTAAGACGATGTGATGTATCGCAGCTTTGGTCTGAGCAGTGGCCAAGTATAAATGGAGGGGCAGATTTCGAACTCTGAAACTAAGAAGTCTCTAGGTCACTCTAAACTTGCCTGGAGACAAGGCATGTTAAAGTATTTTTTTGCTGTTCGAGAGCAAGATAAAACGTCCATAGACAGAACCACTATTACTACTATATAAGTTATTCACTTCAACACCTTTCTCATATCATATCAGGTTAATGACTATTTTGTGCATCTGGTATACATCCAGAACCCCTGTTGTAAAGTCAAGGTTGCGTGAGATATCCTAGTTTGCATTAGTAAATGCTACAGCACACTATATTATTTTGACAAGTATCGTAAAGCTACGTAAATAGAAACCGTACTTTTAAGATTTTTTTTTCCTAAAGGATACGAAGTAAAGATTAAATACTGAACTTTGCTTTTTCAGATATATTACACCCACCCCACCCCCCATATCCTAAATAGTAAATTCTTGGGAACCTAAAAGATAAAGGCCCGAAATTTTTTGCTTTTATACACCTAAAATGTAGCCATCTTTAACAGAAGCCTAAGTATTATGTTTACTGGAACCACATTCATTCCAGAAGAAACCTCTGTCTTCTCTGGTATTTATCATTTCATAATATCCACTTTTTAAAAAATTTTGGTTGTCTCAAATGTTCCAGCAGCTCCACATTATAAGCTCTTGAGGCTGATTTAAAATTTCACTGTGCATTTTTGCAGTGTGATGGAGAACTCAAGCCAGGACTTAAGGGCTTAGGTCCTATTCAGAAGTTACCCATGTGCAAAAACAGTTTTCTGAAACATATGGGAAAGAACTGGGTTCTCTTATGCACGCGCCTGGAAGATAATTGGAAATCACTGTGATCTGTTTTTCAAAAACAAGAACCATTAAAAAAACCCTCCTGGACTGAGAGTAAGCATGCACGTTTTCTTTCTGAAAGGCATTAACTTAGTGTTTTTATGCGTACCTACGATACGGTGGTTGGAATGGCATTTGGAAGCGCTCCTTAACAATAGTCTCACCACTGTCCTTGTATCTGTGCTGGCTGTAGTGGAGACACGCTGTTATTTACCCCAGCGTCGTCGTATAGCAACCCATGGAAGTTAGAGGCATAACTGCGTACGTTGCTTAGCACTGGCAGCCAGGCCAGCTAGCGGCAGCAGTGGGGAGAGTCTTACGTATGCTGTGCAAAGCCACAGACAGTGACGCTTGTTGAGCTGGGGGTCTGATGGAGAGAGGAGGCAGAAGGACTGGCCAGAACAGCCCCGTTCTCCCGCATGGTGCCACCAGGGGGGAAGGAAGGGGACAAAACTGCTCTCTCGGGAGCTCCGTCTTTCCTAGGTGTGGGCCTGTGCCTAAATGATTTCATTCAGCCCTGAACTTGTAATGGAAAATCTTGCGCGATTACAACTTAATATACCATAGTCTGTATTTATGGCTGAGTTGGCTTGAGTTAACAGTACCTTTGGAGATACAGCTTGCAAAACATGAACCACTAGCCAAAGCATGCCTTTTATCAAGATGGATTAGGAATATCCAGTGCTTCCCTACAAGCATGTCGCTACCTGTAGCTGAATTTAATAACACGTGTATTATTAGATTATTGTAGTGTGGTTTATACTGGCTTTTTTCTTCATTCTTTTGAATCTATTTATTTACTTAATTTTCCTACCATCAAGAAAAAGACCCCTATGAATACTTGCAAAAGTAGGGTCAGATGGTGAGACTGGATTGAAGGAAGATACTTAGGTTCTTAGGACGATGCTCAAAAGAGCCTGTGGGCTCAGCTATGCTACACAGCCAAGTACACTGTAGAGATCCCTGAGCTAACGCCACGATCGGAAGCTCTGTTAGTGTTGTTGTGTTCTCCCTGGGCTAATTAACAGGGGTGCCTCTCAGCATACCTAATTAGCTCCATTTCTGCAGCATCCTCAGGGGCAGGGCTAATTAGCGTGGGTGCTTTGCTACACAGACACAGCTATATTGCCTCTGGGATCTAAGCTAGCATCCGTGCATGGCATTGCAATGTACCATGTAGACAAGCCAGTTTCCTCAAAGCTACCTGAGGATCCCTAACAGCCTTTTGCTGTGTAGACTTGCCCGGTGCGTTAATGAGACCCCAAAAGCTTATGCAGGGAGAAGGATAGCAATTCGGGATGTGGGCCAGAGGGTAACATTTTGGGAGACAGATGTTTTAGGGTGAGTCCCAGATTCATTTGCATTTACTTTACCTCTGCATCTACTTGTTACCTTCGGATTAAAGACAGTATTAAAAGTAAGCACCAGCTACGGCAAGGCAAAAAAATAGGCCTATATTGAGGCATATGAAGTCTGAACCTGCTACCTCGCAGCTTCCTGGTTTTTGCTTTTGGGTTCTCAGCTGAACTTATAGCTACTAAAAGATAGTCATGAACTAATGAACTGAAGCATTTTTAAAGCATATTTCCCCATTGCTGTGGTCAAATA